TTTGGAATAGTTTGAGGACAGGTGCTAGTTCTTTGAATGTTTGATAAAATTCTGTGAACCATCTGGTCCAGAACTTTTATTTGCAGAGAGTTTTTTATGGTTATGCTTCAATTTCATTAGTTTTCCATCTAGTCAGGTTTTTTTATTCTTCTTGATTTTTAGAAGATGGTATGTTTCCAAGACTTTGTCCATTTCACCCAAGTTGTCTATTTTGTCAGCAAATAGTTGTTCCTAATATTTTTTTTTTTACAATCCTTTGTATTTCTATAAGATGCTACCTCTCCTCTTTCACTTCTAATTTTATTTCTTTGGGTCCTCTCTCCTAGGTTCATCAATCTCATTTATCCTTTCAAAGAACCAGGTTTTGGATTCATTGATCTTTTGTACTTATTTTACTGTATTTCTTTAGTTTCTATGTCATTTATTTGTGCTCTGGTCTTTATTATTTCCTTCTTTCTACTTACTCTGGCCTTTTCCTGCTGTTTTCTTTCCCCATTATTTTAGGTCCAGGGTTAGATTATTTACAAGAGATTCTTCTTGCTTCTTGAGGTAGGTCTACATGATAGGAACTTCCCTTTCAATACTGCTTTTGCTGTGTACCACAGATTTTGGGTAGTTGTGTATTCATTTTCATTTGTTTCTAGGTAATTTTTTTATTTCTTCCTTGATCTCATTGGTAACCCATTCATTCTTTAATAACATGCTATTTAGCCTCCATGTGTTTGAATATTATATGAGCTTTTTTATTGTGGTTGATTTCTAGTTTTATGCCATTATGATCCGAGACTATGCCTGATATGATTTCATTCTTCTTGAACTTGTTAAGATTATTTTGTGTCCTAGCATGTGGTCTTTCTTTGAGAATGTTCCATGTGCACTTGAGAAGAATGTATATTCTGCTACTTTGGAATGAAATGTCTGTAAATATCAATTAAATCCATTTGATCTAGTGGGTTGTTCGAGATCATTGTTTGCTTGTTGATTTTTTGTCTGGAAGACCTATCCATTGATGACAGTGGGGTGTTAAAGTCCCCTACTATGATTGTATTGCTGGCAATTTCTCCCTTAAAGTCTACCCAAAGTTTTTTTTTGATATATTTAGGTGCTTCTACATTGAGTGCATATACGTTTATGACGGTTATACCCTTTTGTTGAATCAATCTCTTTATTATTATGTAGTGACCTTCTCTGTCTCTTTTGTGGCCTTTATTTTGAAATCTATTTTGTCTACACGAGCTCTTCTTGCTGTCTCTGCTGCTCTGGGTTTGGGATCCCTGCGGGGGGTTGAGACACCACACTCCCAGGGGGAGGGAGCGTTGCAGGCAATAGCACTTGGTCCTCTCAGCCATGGCACTGCTGTGGTCTCTCCTTTTCTACAAACCCCCTCCTTTGACCAGTTTCTCCATGGTTTCCTCAGTGCTGCTGAGATCTAAGATGTCCAATCAGCTACACTTCACCTGGTTTTTCAAGTTGATTACACAGTATTTAGCTGTAAATCTTGTCCCAAACTGGGAGCAAAGACATGCAACCTCTAGTTACTCTACAGCCATATAGCCTCTCCGCTGGCTAATTTTTTAAGTATCCTTTTCTCTTAAAGATACATATTAATGAACTAATGTCTTGGATTTTACTTTAAAATAATCCAGAGGTTTGAGCACCTATTGATGACTACTGAGGCTGGATGATTAGGTGCATAAAGGGGATCATTATGCATCTCTACTTTTGAATGGATTTAAAACTTTTCCATAAGGTATTTTTATATCATTTACATATTAAACATTAGCAAGGTAGATGCTCTGAATTTCTGATGATTCTTTGTGATCAAGCAGCTTCTCTTGTGAGAGCTGGGTGTGTGGGTATTCATTAGAATCACCTTTGAGGTAAACACAAGCAGGGAATTTTGCAATGATAATGATCTCACAAACAGCACAAGGAGATTATTCTATAAAAATGAGCAGAAAAAGAAAAAATTTAAAATGCTCATTTAAAATATAAAACACTGATCGGTTCCTATAATCTTAATATAATTGAAACAAACATGGAAACCCATAAACTAAAAACAGCACATCTTAGCTTCAAAAAGACACATGTAGAAATTAAGCTAGTTTGTTATGTGTTCAGTAAATAGCCTTGCCTACAATATATTATCTCTCACCCAGATTTCTACAAAATTCATTTATTTATGGAGTCTCAGTTTCCTCATCTATAAAATGGTAATACTGCGCCTTGAAGATTATTATGATAGCTAAAGAGTATGTGTAAAGTATTAGTTACAACTGCTGACATAACGCAAGTATTCCATAAATGATAACCAATTATTAGCCATTCAACACATATTTGTTCCTATTAAGCCAAGTAGTCTTCTTTTTTCTATCCTCACCTGAGGATATGTTCATTGATTTTTAGAGAGAGAGAAACAGAGAGAGGGAGAAACATCAACCAGTTGCCTCCTGTACGCACCCCAAGCAAGGATCGGACCCACAACCTAGGTATGTGCTCTGTGCGGGAATTGATGGGGTTTGGGACAACACTCCACCAGCGGAGCCACCCAGTGGGGCAGCAGTCCTCTTCTCTTACACGTCTCCCTGCCTCTACTCCACTTCACTTTCCACATGGACATGTTTCTGATTGGGCCTGTCTTTTGCATGCAAGACAAAGACCAAACTCTTTAATCATTCATTTTGCTGTTCATTCAAATCCTATCTAATAAAGAAGGAAATGCTAATTGATCCTCACGCCATTGCAAAGATGGCGGTGCCCACAGCCACAGATGGCAGCCGCCCAGCCGCCCAGGGCCATCTGAGGCTCAGGTAACCAGGGCCGGCCGAGACTTGCGCTGCTGGCAGTGGCAGCAGCAGAGATGTGATGGGGCATAGCCTTCCCCCTGATTGCCGGGTCACCTCCTGCCCCTGAGGGCTCCCAGACTGTGAGAGGGTGCAGGCCAGGCTGAGGGACCCCCCTCCAGCGCGTGAATTTTCATATACCGGGCTTCTAGTACTTAATAAACACTAACTACATGTCAAACACTCTTAATTCACTGAAATGCCTGTTTCTACATTTGCAAATTCACTCTATTTTAAAAAGTATATACATCTAAGCCACAGAATTTATTGTAACATCACTCTAAATACAAAATTCAAAATTCTAAATCCCTATAATATGTCAGGCTTTGGAAGCATAAAGCTGAACAGGACAGTCCCTTTGCACTCAGACACTTTCCATGTAATGGTAAGACCAAGCCATGAAGAGAGACAGGAAAAGCAGCTCTAAAGCGGAAAGGAGAGCATGAGAAGGGCTCCCTCAGCCAATGCTGGTACCACAAGTGGCAGCTTGGACTCGTCTGTGTCTGAGATGAAGGACAGCCGTTTCCTCCAGGCCCTAACATAGCAGGAAAACTTTCACTGCTCTCCCACGGCGAGGCATTTTCACACACAAGCGCCTTAGCTTATAGAGTGCTCGCACTTTGCACCTGGTAAAGGCAGATCGCTTACCCCCTGGGTAAGTTTGGCCAGTTAGTTACTTCCATTTGGCCTGCTTTTTCTTGTAAAGTTATGATAACAACAGCACTACATTACACGGCCGTTTTAAGAATTAACTAAGGGATGTGAAACACTTGTGACAGCATATTACATGTATGCACAATAAATGTTAGCTGTTATCTTTTTTTTCTTGAGTCAAAACTGAATTTCTCATTAAAACCTTTAGCATACCCAATCCTAAGACTCCTAGTGTCATTTTTCACTCACACATACACACACACACACACACACAATTCTCATATCTTCTTTGCACAAGGAACTGAGTCATTGGGTCTAAGCCTCAAAAGGTGGCCACGATGATGGCTTAGGCCAGTAGCTTTCCTTTTTTTTTTTTTTTTACTAGAACCTTCAGTAAGGCAGGAATTTTACTGTTAAATATAATACTTGGGTGTGTCTCTGTGTATGTGTCTGTACATATATATATATATATATATATGCACATACAACAAAGTCACAAGAAGTAACACCACCTCTATATGCAAAGCACTCTTATTTCCTATTCTTTTTTTTTTTTTTTAATATGCTGGCCCCAACCAACTAAATTGATTTCATGAACGAGCTTTAAAAACGCTGCATTGGACTACGTTCCTCCACTTTAAAAAGGGGTGGTCTGTCCTGGCCGGTGTGGCTCAGTGGATAGAGCATCGGCCTGAGGACTGAAGGGTCCCAGGTTCGATTTGGGTCGGGGGCATGTGCCTTGGTTGCGGGCACGTCCCTGGTGGGGGGTGTGCAGGAGGCGGCTGATTGATGCTTCTCTCTCATCGATGTTTCCGGCTCTCTGTCCCTCTCCCTTCCTCTCTGTGGAAAATCAATAAAATATATTTTTTAAAAAAGGGTGATCTATTTGTAAGTCATTATTCTATCATTGTATACTACTTACAAAGAAATGCTAAGTAACACTGAATTTAGCTTTTAAGTATTTATATGACTATGAAGTCACATCATATTCACCTTCAAATATTTTATCTTTTAACAAATATTCATGTTCATCTAGCAATTTCTGGGTTAATCAAGAAAGTGTTACTAAACATGAGCTATTAACTTAAGTCTACCTAACAGAATTACTAGTGAGTCTTTTCCTCTTTGCAACGGCAAAGGGCCCCATGTTTCAAGACTGAGTAACTCTGCCCACAGATGGAATATTAACCTGCTCTTAAAGTTATCAACAGCTGGCCTTCCAGTTCAGTAAGAAAGCACTTGTGTTATTAGCTTTCCTACCCTCAAACAAGATACCATCTCCTCTAAAGAAACATGTGTCAGTGCTGTGCAAGGGAAAAGTGAGCTCTGGAATTAAAAGCTCCTCTACAACAATGTCCAGAATTTCTGCTTATCAGATTGCTACATTAAAGATGGCAACAATAAAAAAGGAAGAGAACACAACTCGATAACTCATGCAACTTAAAATTAAATCTAGAGAGCAGCTTTCAGAAGAACACAGGAAGACAGAGATGTGGAGCTCACCTCTGCATTGTCACTGCTGGGCCACGATGCATCTCCGCTGCTACAGTCAGCTCTGCCTAGTCCGTCACCAGGGTCTGCTCCCACCTCACTGACTGCGTGTGTGTCACTGCAAGGCTTGGAGGATGTAAGTACAGCTCCGTCCTAAAGTGGATTAAACACAAGCACATTAAAGAGACTTTCATTGTGGCCTGCAGAAAGAAATCGAGTTGCACTACAATCTAAAGAAGAATGCTAACATCTGGCCAGTTTGATGTGATCAAGAATGCTTAAAGATCTAAAAGTTAAAAACATAAACCACTACTAATTCTGTGGTTGTAAAATGTCAATGATCAAAGACAGTTTAGTGAAGAGGAAAAAGTTTGAATTTCCATATAGAACATAAAGGTAAAACAGTTTGTTAAACTATATGATTTCTATTGTCTGCCCATTAGTAAAGATTATTACACATCGCATCTGGTTCACTGCCTTTCAACACTTCAGATTTCAATAAATCACAAATACTGAGATACAGTGCTCTAACATAATCATAAGCTTTTAGATCAGGAACCACATTTTTACTATTCGAACATAGTAAGAATGCTGTCTTTGCTCAGTAATAACAACATAAAACTGTCAACATAACTGAAGGGTATTTCTAAAAACATCTATAGTTGATGGAACTGAAAGTGATAAAAAAATAAATAATGCAAAATAAAAAGTACGCTAAACCAGCAAGTCAGGAGACCTTATAAGTGTGATCTTGTGTACGTCATTTAACTAGTTTAGGCCCTAGTTCTCACCATCTTGGCAGGATTTTTATTTATGCTAGAGGACCTTAAAAAGTGCTGTTAGTGCTAGATCCTGGCTGTCAATGCCAGGCCTAACTGAGGAAGAAGAGCAAATCAGCAGCTCTTACTGCTTTTAAATGATATAGGCAATTCATCCTTTTTGCTTTAAAATGAAGTAAAGGAGCTTTTCATATCCCACATCTGAATATTATAGAATATAAATCTGGTTGAGATTTAATGCTAAGCTATTTTTTCTAATGACACCATCATCTCCATACTTATACTTATGTAGCAAATTCAGCTGAAATCTATTTTAAAATTACAATGAAATTATAGTATTAGGAATGTGAATGTGCTTTGAATTCATCAGACAGGATTTAAATTCCAGTTCCATTGCTTGTGAGCCAAATGATCCCAGCAAGTTATTTAATCTTTCTGAGTTCTTTAAGTGTGTATGTAAAATGGGGGAAACATCAGAGTACCTGATGTAAGAGGGCTGTTGTGCAGACTAAGAAAATGCCTGTCCAAGTACTTAGCACAATGCCTGTCAATCTGTAAAATCTTATAACTATACTTAAAAACATAATTGCAGAAGGAACCTCAAAAATGTAAAATATATATATAAATACATTTTAGTAATTTGTCACATCAAAGCAAAAGCAGTCTTTTTAAAATTATTGTGGAAAAAAAAACATCAAATCATGAGCAAGGCAATAATCAAAGCCCACATTTCTTTCAATGAACCATTATTTCTGCCATGCCCTACACAGGGCCGCCTTTAGGACGTAACTTTTCCAACAGGCACTGAGGCGCTCTCTGGCGCGCTCAGAGCACAGAACCCGGGAGGCTCTCGGGGGTGCTGCTACCTGCGCGGGGCCTGCGGCTTTGGAGAGCTGCTCCTGCAGCTGAGGGAGGAGTTTCTTGGCCTCTTGGATCTCTTTTAGCAACTTAGGGGTAGGTGCTCGATTGTAATCTTCCTGCAACAACTGAAAAGTTATAAAAACATTTTGATAATTGATTGCTTATGTCAAGAAAATAGAGAAAGTCTATTCTTAGTCAAATAGCTGATGGCACCAATCCCACTGTCTGCCTGCGACTCTGACAAGAAGCCAGTCATTCTGACTGCCTGGACACAGCCCTTTCCTAAGGCAGTACCTGCAGCCGTTCCTGTTCTTTCTGTAACATTTTTCTCAGAATTTCTACTTTCTGGTTATGAACCACATTGTTTTCCTCCTAGAAAAAGATAAAAAACCAACAAACAAAAAAGAACCAATACAGGAAAAGTGAAGCTAAAATAAATAAGGAAAACGAGACATATAACGTTACGCCCCAGCTCTGGTTTTCAATATCTATTTCAATTTTTTATTTCCATCACTTATAAGGATGGACTTTTAGACATGACATGAAAGATAACAGATTACAGGGAAATTTTAGCCCTTTTCACTTTTACTAAACTAGGATTCAAGAAAACATTAAATACTTAAATTAGTTGGAAAAATGAAGTTGGCTTAAGTATAGGAATAATACTTATGCTTTCCTATCTTTAGATCATTATTGTCAACCCCCATGCATGGCTCATATTCCCAGTACTTCCTTCCTGACCTCACGCCATCTCTCCTTGTTTTGTAACCCTTTATTTAATCAAATTAGTCTTCCTAAAATCCTGTTATAACCACATCACTCTCTTGCTCAAAAGAAATTTTAATGGATCTCACTGCCTATCTAGTTACATATAAAGTAACCTGGTAGCTGTGAGTTTTTTGAAAATAAATAGTCCTAAGTTTTCAAGCTCCTCTCCCACTACATAAATCCTTAACAGACACCAGCTACTTCCAAAACATCTTTGGTGCTTTCTTGGCTCTTTCCCTCTACTTCCTCTACCTGAGTTGCCTTCATTTCCATTGCCACCACTCACTTGTGACCTGTTTTTCAAGGCTCAATTAATAAAATAGCTTTCGACAAAGTCCTTCCTTGTCACAACTGATGTATTTTTTCCCTCCTTGGAATTCGTACAGAACTTACTGTTTTCCCCCTCATGTCACATTCTGCCTTTGTATTGTAATTACTTACATACATTTAACTCCATCTTAAACAACAAAGGTTTATTAAGCACCTACTATACGCCAAGCACTAGGTACTTTTTTCCAGAAACTAGGGGCTCAACAATAAACAAAACAAAACAAACAAACAAATAAACAAACAAAATACCCATGTTCTTTCAAAGTGTATATTCTTAGGTAATATAGACCTTGAACATAGGATATTTTAAATATTTTTGTGAGTGGCAAATGGTTTTGTATATAGTAGGTGTTTAATATTTTTTAAATTAAATCTCCTGTCCCAAGACTCTGTAATCATTCCAAATTACAGCTGACCCTTGAACAGCATGCGAGCTAGGGATGCCAGCCCTCTGTGCAGTCGGAAAGCTGCGTGTGACTTTCCACTCCCCCAGAACGTTACTAATAGCCTATTACTGACAGGAAGCCTTACCAATAACATAAACAACCGATGAACACATATTTTGTATGTTATTTGTATTAAATACTGAATTTTTACAATAAAGTAAGCTAGAGAACAGAAAATGTTATTAAGAAAATCATAAGGAAGAGAAAATACATTTACTGAAAAAAAAAAAAATCTGTGCATAAGTGGACCTGCACTCTTCAAACCCATATTGTTTAAGGGTCAACTATATTATGTCATTATTATATTAGGAAGTTATTTTCTAGAATCTTGAACTTAAATTCGTTTATCAGCTCAATACCACAAAATTCTGAATATAAAAAGTGAAGGCATTATGCAACTGAGCATTTACAAAGATGTTTCCCGCTCTTACCCCCATGAGCACAGGACTAGTAATTCTCTCCATATTCCCAGATGCTCCCGGTGAGTGAGGAGATGTCATGATAGGAGACATGTGTCCAGTGACTGACGGCTCTCCTTCAGAATCAGCAAGTGGGATCTGGGGCATCCCCGGGGGGCGTCCCTGAACAGTGAGAGCTACATAGGAACCAGCTTGGGTGGGCAGAGAAAAGAAAGGGAAAGCAACATTGTACACAAATTGTTACAGCATTTCACTACTTAGCCTTTAAGTTCTAAAAGTGTCGTCATGTGAGAAAGCTGAACCAACTGCTAACCACTGATCCACATAAAAACAACCCAATGTTTTTTTACGAATCCTCTAAGAATCTAAAAGAACAATGTCATTTTCAGATAGTAAATTACTATTCATAATATTACTTAAAAGCAAATAAAATGTATAACCCCCCAATTTTTAATTAGAGAAGAGTGAATTAATATCAACCATCTACTAATGACTATGTTTAATTAATTTCTTAAATGCAAAGCCCTAGCTGGTTTGGCTCAGTGGATAGAGCGTCAGCGGGCGGACTGAGTGTCCCTGGGTTCGATTCTGGTCAAGGGCACAGGCCCAAGTTGTGGGTTTGATCTCCAGTGCGGGACGTGCAGGAGGCAGCTGGTCAATGATTCTCTCTCATCACTGATGTTTCTATCTCTGTCTTCCTCTCCTCTCCTTTCTGAAATCAATAAAAATATATTTTTTAAAAAATTCTTAAATGCAAATTTTAAAAAATAATTTTAAGATGATAATTAATTAGGCAGAGTTTAACTAATTTTCTAGAATATAATGATGCAATTTTAAATTAACTTTACTAGATAAAATTGACAAAAAGTATACCACAAAAGCCAAGAAAAATCTCCATAAATAAGTAATGAGTTTAATTTTTAAAATTTGGAGAAGACTGATGGGGCAAGATGGCTGTGGGACCAGGAGACCGTGTACCCGTGCTCCCAGCCTGAATGGACTTACAGCTGAAATGCTATGCGGTTGCCTGGAAAAGTGAGAAGTGTAGCTGACCGGACACTATTTGTCTAAGAAGCCCTGAAGAAACAGCGTAGAACTGGTAAAAGGGGGAGCCCCCCGGGGCGGATGCTTGGCTGAGGCCTAAGTGATATTGGCTGCAAAGCTCCCTCCACGCAGGGACCCCCAACCCCAAGCAGCAGAGACTGGAAGGAGAGTCCGCGCAGCATCGGGCCAAGGGGTCCAGGAGACTCTGCCTGCCTAGGAGGCTGGGTCCTCCCTTCCCAGTGACAGAATGTGCCAGGTGCTGGCTGCCCCAGAGGGGACTCCCCGCAGGCTCTCACTGCTGAGGCTGCACAGCAGTGTTTGGCTCAAAACACAAGGCGCCTGAGGGCTGCACCCAGGAGTGATTTGAGGGACGCTGGGCTTTCCTGAAAGGCTTGTGCAGAGCCCAGAGCGATGGCGTGGGGAGGGGAAGGGGAGTCCCCAGCTGGATGTGTGGGGTTGGAACCCCCCCGGCACCTGTGGAGCCACAGGGCCTGCTCCAGCCTGTAGAGTTGGCAGCGGGCAGGTCGGGGATTTTATTTTATTATTTTTTATCCTCACCTGAGGATATTTTTCCATTGATTTTTAGGGAGAGTGGATGAGAGAAGGAAAGACAGAAATATCAATGTGAGAGAAACACATTGACTGGTTGTCTCCTGCATGAGCCTGACCAGTGCCCGGCCTGGGAAGAGTCTGCAACTGAGGTAAGTGCCCTTGACCAGAATCGAACCTGGGACCCTTCGGTCTGCAGACCCATGTGCTATCCACTGAGCAACACCAGCTGGGGCTAGATCGGGGATTTGAAGCCTGCACCGAAGAGAGTGGGAGCACAAGTGGAGCAGGGATAACTGGTCCCAGCTTTCCTGAGACGCCATGTGGAGATTCCGGAGTCCTGAGTGGGGCTGACTTCGCAACCCCTTCTGCTTGGACTGTGGCGCAAGGGCACCAGGTCCTGGCAGCTGAGTCTCTCTGGATGGGATCCCATGGGAAGGCTTCCACTGAGGAGACAGAGGAGGGAGAGCTGTGCTTTGTGACTGCACTGAGGAGAGGCTAATCCAAATTCCCTGTGCGTCCAGGCGGCCAGGCCTGGGAAGGAGGGGGCGGAGCTTGTCTCCCGCTCTTGTGGGCTGGGAACACCCCTACCAGAAGGGGACCAGATCCTCCGCTGGGCACACTTTGGTGGGGGCAGGAGAACAGCCCAGAGTAGGACATCCCGAGAGTAAGACCCTCAAGGCCATTATCTAGCAGCAGAAAAGGCATAGCCCGGTCCTGAGGGCGAGACTGGCAACATTCTCAATCGCAATCTCTTTTTTATTATTATTTTATTTTTTTATTGATTTTAGAGAGGAAGGGAGAGGGAGAGAGAGATAGAAACATCAATGATGAGAGAGAGTCATTGATTGGCTGCCTCCTGCACATCCCCTACTGGGGATTGAGCCCCGCAACCCAGGCATGTGCCCTTGACCAGAATTGAACCTGGGACCCTTCATTCCACAGGCCGACGCTCTATCCACAGAGCCACACCAGCCAGGACTCGGAATCTCTTTTGAAAAATCCCACTGAGCCAGGGCAGCAGAAACTTCTCCTGCAGAATGGGCGGTAGGCCGTGTCCAACCTGAGCCTGCCCAGGCCCCCTTGCAGGGAACTGGAGTTGGAGGATATGGTAGAGACTGAGGAGTTGGGCTTTGCAGCAGAGATTCATTTCCCCTCAGTGAGTGCCTGATGAGTAATCTCTAAGCTGGAGGCCCACTAGCTCTAGCTGTGCTCGCCTGGCTTCACCCTAAAGACTCTCTTCAGAAAACACTGGAAGAAAACCAGGCAAACGGGGGGTGGGGGGGCGCGAGAGCAGAGTAGCTGACGCCTCAGACTGACCACAGCTACAACAAGACACCCAGAGCCAAACGTGGACAGCTCCTAACGTTGGCTGACACAAAAGTACCTCCCAGGAGGCCTGAAATCAAAATACAAAACAGTGAGTCTGATCATGTAATCCATCTAGATCAGTGATGGTGAACCTTTTGAGCTCGGCGTGTCAGCATTTTGAAAAACCCTAACTTAACTCTGGTGCCGTGTCACATATAGAAATTTTTGATCTTTGCAACCATAGTAAAACAAAGATTTCTATTTTTGATATTTATTTTATATATTTAAATGCCATTTAACAAAGAAAAATCAACCAAAAAAATGAGTTCGCGTGTCACCTCTGACACGCCTGTCATAGGTTCGCCATCACTGACCTAGATGAACGTCACTTGGCTGATTTAGTTGTAATTGTTCTTCTTTTTCAATATTTTCTTCTTTATTGCTGTAGTATTATAGCCATTAATATTTTTGTTATTTTCTCTCATATCTTACAGGCCTCTTTCCTTTTTCCTTTTCCATTCTTTCTCAGTTTACCTTTACCTTTCTTCTTTTAACCATTGCATAACGTTTTCCCTTTCCTTCTCTGTCTTCTTGTCTTTTTTTTTTTCTTACCTTTTTCCTTTTCCTACTCTCTACTCATAGTTTTTGCTCTCCTTTGTTCTTTAAGAATCTTTTTTCTGTCACTTTTCCACTATTCTCTTTATTTTTTTATTTTACTATTAGTAATATTATCTTTGTCTCTCTTTTTGTTTACTATTCTTGTTTTCTTATCTCTTTACTAATTCTCCTCTCTTTTGTGGTTGTTTCCCCTATCAGCACATGTAAAAGAGCTCGCATAACATGGTTTTGGTTGAGCCTTACAGTTACCCATCCTCAGAGGAGAGCCCACCCACAAACAGGACAACAACAATCAAGACCTAATTATAACAGGAGAGCCCAAAAAACCCGCAAAAGGGTCACTCCTAGGGCACACAACTCAGCAGTACAAGGACACTGGGTCCCACAGAACACTGACTACAAAAGCCCACCCCAAGAAGACTGGGAGTCATAGCAAGTATGTCTAATTTATAAACACAAAGAGACAGCAAAGAGGGGAGACAAAGAAACAACCCCCAACTTAAAGGAAAGGAGGGATAGCCAGAAAAATAGCCAAATAAGATGGAGGTGAGAAAGGTATCAGACATAGAGTCCAGAGTAATGTTTATAAAGATGCTCAAGGAACATAGTGAGAATGACAAGGAACTTAGTGGGAACTACATCAGCATGAAAAAAGACAGAGAACTAAGAGCCAGGCAGAAATGAAGACTATATAGGACATCAAGAATATACTGGAGAGGAAACCAAGATGGCGGCATAGGTTAACGCCGGAGTTTGCAGCCTCAAACAACCACTTCAAAAATACAACTAAAAGACGGAACGGACATCATCCAGAACCACAGGAAGGCTGGCTGAGTGGAAGTTCTACAACTAGGAAGAAAGAGAATAGCATACCGAGACTCAGAGGAGGCGCAGTGCTGAAGTGAAATACTAAGGTGCGGAGTGCATGTGGAGCGGGCTGGTAGCTGAGGGCGAGGTTGTTGTTTTCAATCGGGAGGGCGTCTCAGACTTTGAGCTCCAGATCCGGGCGAGTCTCTAGGGACCCAGACTCAAACGGGAGAAGCGGGACTGCCTGGCTTCGGTGGGAACTCGAAGGCAGCTTTCTCTCCGAGGTTTGCAGCAGTTGCTGGGACTCTGAGAGGCAGAGCCCCTGGGGACGGGACTGAGAGCAGCCATAACTGCTCACGCCGCCTGCCCTGTAGATCCCCGGGGACCCGCCCCGCCCAAGCCCTGCACAGAGGCATTTGCCAGATAGCCTTAGGCAAACGCTAGATTAGCACCACCCTAGAGATCCAGCACAGAAGTTCTTCCACTGCAGACACAGCTGACTCTCATAGCCAGTTAGCCTGGAGGTCAAATCACCCCCAGTATTACCGACAACAATCAAGGCTTAACTACAACAAGTCTGCGCACAAAGGCCACAAGGGGGTGCACCAAGAAAGCATAAAAAAATGCGGAGACAAAGAAACATGACAGAAATGGAGGATATAGAGCTCAAAACCGCACTTTTAAGGTCTTTCAATAATTTTCTAGAAACTGCCGATAAGCTTAATGAGATCTACAAGAAATCTAATGAGACCCTCGATGTTGTGATAAAGAACCAACTAGAAATTAAGCATACACTGACTGAAATAAAGAATATTATACAGACACCCAACAGCAGACCAGAGGAGCGCAAGAATCAAGTCAA